TAATCAAGCTGGCCAGGCTATGTAGATTATCATAATATCTCTAAGTGTTCCCAGGGTTAATGTTGACTTGAGCTAATAATTATGTAGTGAAAGAGCAATAACACCGAGAGTAAGGGAAATAACTTGCTTTATTCATTGATTGAAAATGTGAAGCTTACATCCTACTTGAGGCGAAGGTAAATAATAAGTAGGGAGCGAATCGCTTGAAATAACTAAACTTGTACTAAGTAGATGATGTAGGTGTTTCGTCCAATTGATGTTGAGAGGTGAGGGGATGCATCATCCTTAGGGTAGGATAGCTCCCTAGTTTAGGATGTTGTGATCACTAACTTTGTTATGGCTCAAGATGCTCCAAGTGTCATTGACATCATTGGAAGTCCAGAGACATAGAAGGAGATCATCCACGAGATATCGACGATTGTCGTCGATCATCTGGTTTTTGAGTGTCGGAGTGATCTTCATCTCTTTTCCTCTTAGAATGAGCGAGGGTCGAAGCTTCTTCGATGCGTACGTGTTTCTCAGCGCGACTTAGTAACTCTTCCAGAGTAGTTGGAGGTCTTCCTACAATAGATTCCTTGAATCTACCTTGCTTCAAATTTTGTTGAATGATTCCACAGAGCATGCTTCCTCCCACGTTAGGAACTTCATGAGCCGCCTCTACAAATCGTTGAATGTAGTTGATGGGAGGGTTTCGCCCTCTCTCTAGGTGATAGTGAAGAGGTACGCGGAGTCTTAGCGTACTCTTTGTTGATAGCGAAATGGTGGGTGAAGCAATCCGTTAGTTGGGAGAGAGATCTTCAATTGACCCAGTGTGCAAGGAGTTGAACCAACTCAATGCTCGTTCGGAGAGCATTGTGCGAAACATCTTGCACATCGCCGCATCAGTTGGGCCATATAGATCTGCCATGTCGTAGAACTTTTCAAGGTGCTCATGTGGGTCACTAGTTCTATCGAACTGCGGTAGACTCGAGACCTTTACCCGTTGGGGTAGTATCTCATTAATTATTGCGACAGTGAAGGGACTGCGCCTTATTGAAGGTATTGCCTTTCCACCAATAGGATTACCTATGTGGGGGAGGTGATTTGAGCGAGATACCCGACTGTTAATTTCATCATCTCCAGCATTGTGGGGAGGTACTTGTTGGCGAGAGGCGTTGCCTCTTGAAGGTGAACGTGGGACTTGTTGCCCCGTTCGTGCATTATGGCGATGAGTAGATTGTTGCATTCGAGACCTAGGGTCCGAGGTGGATGTGTTATCCGGTGGCGATGGAGGTCGTTGTGCCACGGGTGGAGATACAGGGGGAGTGTTGACTCCCATTGTGGCGATGTATTGTGCCACTGCTTCAGTGGCAGCTCGAGCTGAAACTTCCGCAATCATGTGTTGGAGGGCCTCTTCGGTTATTTGAACCGTTCGAGGAGCGGGGAGTGGTGGATCCTGCGGGGGATTTATCTGAACCTCATGAGGTGGATCCTGATTATGAGGAGGAAGTGGCAAGCAAGAGCCTCCACGAGGTGGAAGGTTGTTAGCATTGACACGTTCTCTCCGAGTAGATGACTCAGGGACATCATGTTCGCTACATGATCTTGTATGCCTTCCCAGACGGCGCCATTATGATGATGCTAGAAATAGATCACCTTAAGTAGTTGAGATAGAAGGAGCTGGGAGAGCAAAGTGGATCAGTGCTCACGTGCTAGATGGCCCTGAGATGCCTGCGAACAGAGAACACGTGAACTAAGCCGGGGGTTGATCTGGCGGAAACCCCTCCGACGCTCAAGTCAGACGTGCGAATTGTAGAAATAGTTGAGAGAATATGACTTGTAATATTACTCAGATAATAGGGCGTACCTTTAATAAATGAATTATGCCGTTATTTATACCTTGTCGATTGGGTTGTGGTTAATTTGTTTGGTCAAACTTTATTTGAAGGTAATTGGGCTTTCGTAATAGTATTCTTCTAAATCGGGCTCGTGGCCCAGTACGTAGAGAAATAGTAGGCTAATTGGTCTGGCTCAATTAGGCATATCACATTGTAATGTCAATTTTTTATGAAAAATCGACTCTACGATGTCGTTTTTATCGCTAAATATCGACCTGCAAACGTCGATTTTTTGTGTACGGGAAATTATTTCCGAAAAACAAGAAAAACGATTACAAAGCTAAAAAAAGTACAATATTTCTTACCCTATTGTATTCTTCGACCTTAGAATAATCCATATTGATGTCTTGTGTGTCTATAATGTCCTCCTATGCAAGTTTTAGTAAGATATGAGGGTTTTGTTTGATGAGGGCAGGGCAAGCCCAAGCCCAAGGCGAGCAAGGCCGTCGCCTTGGGCCTACGAAAAATCAAAAATTTTAGGACGACCTCCAATTGTTGAAATGCGATATATTTATTAAGCTACAAAAATTTTCCAATAATTGTCTTTGACATACTTGGCCAAGTTATACTCATACGCCACTGTATGTCTTTTGAATTATATTATTTTTTGAATTTTATTTTCAATTTCCCTCTTTTCTTCTTTCTAATTTTATTTTTTAATTTCCCTCTTTTTTTTTCTTTTTTTCTTTGTTGATTGGCAAGCTAAGAATTAATACTGGTTGTGTTAATATTTTGGGTTAAATAATTTAGCTCTTTTTGAATTATATTGTATATTTTGAAATTTCATAGGTTGAGTATCTATCGACACAATGAGCAATAGAAAAGTTTGAGTTGGGATATTAAGAAAAATCCAAACGGATCTCCTAGATTTAAATAAGGGTAAATTACAACCACCCCTGAGGTATGGTCAAATTACAAAACCCCCCCTCTTGTTTGGATAATTACCCTCAACTCCTCAAATTTAGTGGAATCTTCGAGATTATATGGAATACTATCACTTTTGTACCATTTTTATCCCATCAGAACTCTACATTTTTAAGCAAGATGATCATAATATGTGTTTTTTTGGCTTATATACATCAAATAGTGATGCATCGATAAATGTATTTTTACAGAAAACGAGTACAAACTAGAGCACATTCCATGAAATATAGATGATTATGTTGAATTTGGTAGCATAAGGATGGGGGTGTAAGAAAAAATCATAGTTGAGGGGTAGATGTAATTATCCAAACAAGAGGGGTTTTTTCGCAAATTGACCATACTTCAGGGGGTGTTTGTAATTTACCCTTTAAATAAATTATCTTGCAAAAATATGTTGAAGCTGAAGTTGTGGAACTGTGGTGAGTTGATAAGTCAAAATAAAGTTGGTAATTAAGGGGGCCTCGTTATTGTTTCTCGCCTCGGGCCTCCGAGACCCTGGGACCGGCCCTGGATGAGGGTTTTTGGGAAATATGAAAGAGTTTTTGTGGAGAAATGTGTAGAATGAGTGTGAAGAAGATGTTGGGTTTTGTTGGTGAAATGAGTTAATCTCTCGTGTTTTATATTTCTTGTTATCCTTTTTTTGGTCTTGCAATAGCAATTAGTCATAATTTGAATTAATAATATCGAAATAAATATTGGAGTTATATTTGTAATTACCAATCTTGTTCTTAGTAAATTTATTTATATTTTGGTCTTGCATTAAGTAAGGTCTTGGCCTTAAGAAATTTTGAGATTGTGCAAATATTGACTGCCTATCGTATATATCAACACTATTACTCCCTCTGTTCCACAATAACTGTCTATTTTTAAAAATATTTTTGTTCCATATTATCTGTCACTTTAGATTTTCTCTACCGCATTAAATGCATTTTTTTTCTGTTTTAACCTTATGAATTCAACTATAAGTATTAACTCTCTCTTATCACATTATTAAATAATCAAGGTTATTTTAGTCTTTCTAATATATTTTAGGGCTAAATACAGTTTGCACCCTTAAAGTATAGGGTTGGTAACACTTACCCTCTTAAAGTTACAAATGTAACACTTGCCCCCCTCATTAATGAATTTAATGATAACACTTTGACTTTGAATGATGTGGCATTTTTTCTTCCCAAATTGTCCTTCTAGCTATTATATTAATGCATATATAATAATATATTTTCAATAATATTTCAAAAACTAAATTTTATAAAATGTAATAATTATTAAAAAAATATTTTAATTTATGTTTAAGCCCACATTTTAATTACTATAGACCCTAATATAAATAAAAATCTCAATATTTTAAAAAAAATATTTAAAATGCGTTAAACATTTACAACAAAAAAATAATTTCAAGACTTAAACGTCCAATTTTTTTTATAATAATTATTGATTTGAAAATTTATTTCAGTTACTTAAATAAAAATTTCAGTAAAAAAATATTTAAATATTTAGACGTTTAAATTATAATTTCTTATTAACTTTTGAATACATTTTGTGATTCTTAAAGTAAAAAGTCGGATGATTATATTAGAGTCATATACGCATTAATATAACTATATAAACTATAAAATTATTATTAAAATTCGAATAATTGTTAACTTTTTATTAGCTACAAATGAACACAAGGTAAAACAAAAATGAAACTAAAATTCAATTTTTTTCATTCGTAAATTTACAATATTGAAATAATAAAATTAAGTTTTTGCAAAGTTGCCGAATTTTTTATTATTACATATTCATTATTTATATAATGACTAGAAGGATAATTTGGGAAGAAAAAATGCCACATTATTCAAAGTCAAAGTTTTACCTTTAAATTCATTAATGAAGGGGGTAAGTGTTACATTTGTAACTTTAAGGGGGTAAGTGTTACCACCGCTATACTTTAAGGGTGCAAACTGTATTTAGCCCTATATTTTACCTAAAATCAGGACATATTTATTGAGCTTCTTAATCCTTGTGCAAAGCCAAAAACAACTCTTAATAAGGAACAAAGGGAGTATTAACTTTTTAACATATTTCTTTAATAAAGAAAGTATTATATTAATATTGAAAAAAAAGTATTAGATTATTGTAACAGCCAGCGCTCTCTCTCCCCCTCTCTCTCTCTCTCTCTCTCTCATTTTTCATCGTTCTTTCACACTTCAATCTCTCTCTCTCTCCAGTGGTCTCATTCTCTGATTTTGTCTCAGCGACTGCACTCAAGGCTGTTGGCTTCTAACACAAACAGATGATTGCCAAAACTCCTCTCTTTTAATAATATACTGGTTGGTTTTGTTCAACCTTGTATCTATCTTCAGTCTTCACCAAAGACATCGATTCTTTTTTGTACTTACTGTATATGTCTTTTAATGCATTAGTTGATATACTCACAATTTCGTACGACAAATTGTTGGAAGGAAGACGAGAGTACAAGCGCAAAAGCTTCTCCCTTGCTCGATGACTGTGTAAACTGTAATGCATGTAAGGTGTTCGATTAAATTACCGACTGCTAAAAGTTGATCTAATTTTACAATCACAGCTCAAATTTATTGTATAATTTGTGGATTCAGGTTTAGATCATCAACCCCAATCCCTCAAAATCAAACTTTATGCGGAATAAGCTTCTCAATCGGAATACCATCTCAACGGTTTGGCATAACCGGAGGTCAAAAATCCGTCCACCGCCGCCTGCTTCCGCCAAGGCAGTGCTTCGAGTATCAAATAACATAGCTCATTTGGGGGCGCCAAAAGAGGGCCCAAAACCTAGGCAGCTGCTATCTTTGCCGCCATTCCCCGGCAACCCTTTGCCCGGAAGGAATTCAACCTCTGTCGAACATGTGACTGCCATTAGCTGGCTCAAATATTACTTTGATGACGTCATTCCTCCAGTAATTCAGCATCATTTCAATAAAGGCCTTGTCAGTCTCTCTCTCTCTCTCTCTCTAACTAATTTACTGTGTTTGATTTTTTTTCATATGTTTCACTTTTTTCGTAGTTGATTACTCGATTTCATGGAAGGCCTCTAGAAAGTTTAAATAACTGAAACCCATTCTGTTGTATTATTTAATTCTGGTAGTGAGACTGCTTATGTAATAAAATCAAGAACGAGTATAACTTTAGTTATTCTTTGAAATGCTTGCGGCTTTTGTTTTGTTGTGCAACCTAATCTTCTTATCTTGACTCTTGTCTTATTTTATTGCTACAGTTGGTTGATATACGTTTTTGTTTTAAATTTGAAGAAGATGAAGTTACTTACTCTTATTTTGGTTTAACAGGTTCGGATGGAATGTCTTAATTCAAGTGGCCTGTCTGAAAGCTACAGAGGACAAACAATGTCCACAAGAAAGGTAATAATGCTTTTACTCGAGAGCTGTATAAAACTCTGTAGTTATTGTTATGAATTTGAATACTTACTTCATACTCAGATTACCCGTTTTTATAGTTGTAACAGTTACGTGCAGATCAAACCTAGCGAAATCGTGGAGGAGGGAGACAGGGTTTACGTTCCGGTATCTGTTGCTGAAAATAAAGTCTCAAAGAGATTTGATGTTATTCCGAGTGGGACGTTGCACCCAAATGCTGACGAAATTATGTACTTACAGAGACTCGTGAAGTACAAGGCATGTATATATATATTCCGTGTTATAGAGGAAACCACGTGATCAACTCACAATTAAGTATGATGCTGATCGTGTTGGTAATTAATTATTGTCTATTGTTTGCAATCTTCAGGACTCGGCTATTCTAGTGTTAAATAAGCCTCCTAAACTTCCAGTAAAGGTCAGCATTATCGACATTTTAAATCGAATATTTTAGTTTTTTCCGCTCTCTTGCCTTTTTGAGTTGCTAATGCATCGTACGTAAAAATAGGGGAACCTGCCGGTTCACAACAGCATGGATGCCTTAGCAGCTGCAGCATTATCGTATGATTATGATGAAGGCCCAAAGTTGGTGGGTAATATCTTTGAGTTGCCGTTTATTTGTTCTTTTTAATTTTCATAAATATTTCACCTCTGCAATTATTCTTATTGGGTTCGTTTAGGTGCATCGTCTTGACAGAGAGAGTAGTGGTCTCCTCTTAATGGGGAGAACGAAAGAAAGCATTTCCTATCTTCATTGGTTGTTCAGTGACGTAAGGAAGGCTGCATCCTTCTCTAAGGTACTTCAATTTTTTTAGTCGAAGCTCTGAACATGCAATAAGAAAGTTGCTACTTATTTATTCAGGCCGCATCTTTTGTAGGTAAATTGTATGTCTTTCTCTTATATTTTTTTTCCTACTTATTCGGTTGTTTCAAGGAATGGAGTGATGCTTGCGATGCAATGTATCAGAGGTATTGGGCGTTGGTCATAGGCGTGCCCAACCAGAAAGAAGGCGTAATTTGCGCCCCACTCACAAAGGTCTTTTTTTTTTTTTTTTTTTTTTAATTCGATAAAAAAGCCTCGTGAATATTTGGGTGTGACTGTAAGAATCATCGGATGATTTTAATTTCAGGTGCTTCTTAATGATGGAAAAACGGAGATGGTTATTCTATCTCATAATTCAGGCTTAGAAGCTTCCCAAGAGGCAATTACTCGATATCGTGTGCTTGGCCCGATGATCAATGGTTGCTCATGGATTGAATTGCATCCTCTTACAAGGCGTAAACATCAGGTTCGTAAAATTTATGATTTTATATGCATTCCAATTAACTCCAAATTAAATATTCCCAAGTCCCACACTTCGACTGTGCATTATCGGAATTTCAAATTTATAGGAAGAACTAGTCGTATTAAGACGGATCTTGTTATTTGAATACTCTGTATTCAAAGCGTAATCATGATATTATCTAAAATTGATGGATGTAAATTATCTATTCTCAATAGGAAATATTTTAAACGATCCTTATCGAAAAAGCAGTGCACAGCTGGCTAAGATTTGTGAAAATTGCTTCTCCCTCCATTTCATATTAATTATCGTCAAGGTTTCGGTACTAGTATGAAGAAACTAATAACTATGCATGAATTTTTGGGAAAATGCACTTAATGCACTAAAATACCCGTTCTTATTATCTTATCCTCTAATAATTCTCCCGGGCAAAATAGAGAAAAAAGTAACAAATGCATCATTAGAACTCTAAACAGATACTATAAAACAAAAAAATAAAATAAAAATCAGTTAAACTTGAAACGGTTAGAGAGTAGCTAGTAACACCATTGTTGGGGAGAGATTTTCCTCTCTCAAATATTTATGTATATATATATATATATATATATATATATATATATATATATATATATATATATATATATATATATATATATAGACACACACACACACATAGGGGTGCATGTTGGAACGGAAATTCCAATTTCCGCCGGTTCCGATCCAAAAAGTTCCCATTTTGGAACAACTTTTTTCATTCCTGACTTCCGAAATTCCGATTTCCGAATTTTCCCGATTTTTTGGATTGGAATTGGAATTATATAAAATAAATTTGGAATTTCCGATTTCCGATCCAATTTGATTCCGAAATTAATTCCGAAAAATTCGGATGTTTTTCCGAAAAATACACCTATAAAATAATAAATATTATATAATACTCATTTTTCCGAAAAATACACCTTTAAGTTTTGTTTTAGGATTATGTTGTGTTTATGTTTATTTATTTTTTGAACTGAAATTTAGTAGTTATTAGTTTTACTTTTATCGACGTGGATGTTCTTATTTTTGGAAAATTATGAACATTTTAAAAAAAAATTCGCCAAGTTTTGAAATTTTTAAGCTCATGTGATTTCCGATTTTTTTCCGAAATTCCGAAAATTCCGGGCCTTTTGGAATTGGAATTGGAATTAATTTTGTACTTCCAAAATTTTTTGGAATTTTTCCGAAAAAAGGCTAATTCCGATCCGATCCATCCGACTTTCACCCCTATATATATATATATATATATATATATATTTGACTTGGTTTATCTTTGGTGCAGCTTCGAGTTCATTGTGCAGAAGCTCTAGGTACTCCGATAGTAGGCGACTACAAATACGGGTGGTTTGTCCACAGCAAATGGAAGCAAATGCCTAGACTCGATTTTGAGCCAACAACCGGGGAACCTTATAAAATGCGGAGGCCAGAGGGCTTGGACGTACAGAAAGGCAGTGTCTTATCAAAAGTTCCACTTTTGCATTTGCATAGCAGAGAAATGGTATTGCCGAATATCGAGAAGTTTATCGAGCTCCATAAGCACATGTCAGGAAACTACAATGTGGATCCTGAGCTTTGTGCGAAACCAGATATCCTCCGTTTTGTGGTGCCGATGCCTAAACACATGAAAATTAGTTGGAATCTCATGTCTTCTTACCTTGTATAAAAGAATGGTCATCGAGACTTGGATTTCTGAAAGAATAGGTCAATTTTTATTTTGTTTTTGCTTTGTTTTGTTTTCCTTGTAACTTTAATTTGAATAATCAGCTTCTTTGCATTTGCAGTTTATTTAATTATGAAATTGATGAATTGTATATGTAATCATATGGAGACCAGCTTTTTCAATCATATTGATACAGATGCATATTGGGGATTCAATAGTAAGGGGCTTAAAAAACAACCAACTGCTTCTGTTTCTAAATATTTGAAACAACAGAATCTCTCTCTAAAAATGGTGTCATCTCTCTCTAAAACTTGCTCAGTTTTGTTCCTCTTTTCTTTTATTTTTATCTTATTATTTTTTCTCTTCTTTAACTTCTTATCCAAGACAAGCTCAATGGTGCAAGTAGATCTCGGTCTTCAAATTTTGTTTTGGATACTCATTTAGGCGTCTCCAATGGAATAAGTAAATTTGGGTCTTTTGGAGACCAGACAGAATTTTAGAGTCTCTAAAAAATAAAATTTCACAATAGAGGGCTCTCTAAATGATGTCACCGATTATTATAGTAGTTGATTAGGGCTCAAATTATACTCATATACTAAGGTCCGGGACAATTAAATTTTATTTAAACAATTTTACTTTTTTTTTATAAACATTTCGATCTAAAAAATAAAAAATTCTGAAAAGATATGAAATGTTGAACTACAACTGTTTGGATATGATTTCCATTGATCTCATCCATTAAATTTTTTATCTAATCATTTTACTACCATCTTCATCATCTTATCTAGATCTTCATCATCTTATCCAACTATAATCAATTAAATTGGATTTTCATGTTCAATCTAGGACATCCAAGATTATCTATAACAATCATATACAACATTATATAGCATGTGTGGTGATTGTGTAAGAATTGGGGAGTAGCATTATATAAAAAAATCAGTTTCTTATATAATGCTACTTCCCAACCCTTACACAATCACCACACATTCTATATACAATCTAGTTACATATTTATATAAAAAAAAAAATGGCTCAACAAGTAAGCGATAACTCCTCTTCCGACGACGACAACCAAGGCCACGCTATAATGACGACGATGTACGGAGAATACCAATCTTTCATGTTGGCTTCACAGGGGAAGTGCAAAACACAACATAGAGTAACATCATCATGTTGGCTTTTGCTTAAAGTAATAGTCAAAATGCATGATATCATTCATAATTCGTAAAAATAATTCACGCCTCATATGATTTCTATTTCGAAAATCACGAGGAGCATATAAAAGACGATCAACAAAGTATCATTCATAAGTAAGTCGTGCGCACCTATTCGGTCCCATCTTACTGAATTCCGGCGTGATGATGTTCCTCCATGTTGTGTTTTGCACTTCCCCTGTGAAGCGAACATGTTATTGGTATTCTACGTACATCGTCGTCATGATGGCGTGGCCTTGATTGCCGTCGTCGTAAGAGGAGTTATCGCTTTCTTGTTGTGCTAATTTTATTGATTTTTCGATAAATATGTAACTAGATTGTATATAAAAAATGTGTGGTGATTCTGTAAGGGTTGGAAAGTAGCATTATATAAGAAAATGAATAGATTATAGATAAGAATTGGATGAGCGAGATTGAGCGTGAAAATCCAATCTAATGGATTATAGTTGGATAAAATGATGAAAATGTGAATAAGATGATGAAGATGTGGATAAAATGATTAGATAAAAACCTAACAGATAAGATCAATTAAAACCATATCTAACGGTTGTAGTTCATCATTTCATATCTTTTAAGAAATTTTTATTTTTTGGATCAAAATAGATATTAAAAATAATTAAGATTGTTCAAATAACATTTAATTGTCTACAATCTCGTATATGAATAACATTTTAGTCCTAATCAAAATACTATATGAAATAATCCGTAACATGATTTAGAGACGCAAAATTATATATCCCTGTATTGTGGATTTTTTTTTTAAAACTCTAAAATTCTATCGAGTGTCCATGTAGGTCTCCAAAACAGAATTTGAAAACCCGATATGCTTGCTCCATTGGAGATATCCTTAGGAAGAAATTTAGAACTATTGCCAAAGTCTCTAGTTTTATATACCCACTAAAGCCCTAGTTGGTATTGGCTGGTTTTGGTAGAATTTCTATATTAAGTAGTCAACTAATGGAGTTTAGAGACTCCATTGAAATGCCATTAGAGAACAATAGCATTTTAGAGTTTCTAAAAAAAAGTTTCATCTTAATTTCTCTTTTTTTAATATACAACTGAAGCAAAAAGTTTTTTTTTTTTAAATGTAAAAAATTGTATTGTAATAACATTAATTGGACAAGATTTTTCAATTAGTCTCATCATTATATTTTTATCTGCATCTTCATCTTCTTATCCAAATATAATCCAATCCAAATATAATCCATTAGGTTGGTTTTTCTATGTTCAATCTGGTCCATCCAATTGTTGTCCATTATTCATTCATTTTCTTTATGTATGTAGAGTCCCCAATTCTTACACAATTACCACACATTCTTTATACAATCTCTATTACTATTACAACCCGCATTCCATTTACACATAACGAACGGTACATAATACAAGCCAAGGATATACAACAGATGTTATATATCCACGTCGGTCCACTAGTATTCAAACAATTTCCGGTCCACAATGACATGATAACCAATTATTTACAAGGATGCAAGCGGTGGCATATCGAAAGGGCGATCCACAGACCTACTAAAACTTTCGTTGGTGTTGCCATTTTTGTCCTACATTATGCATTCTCGTGAAATTTGAAGACTCCAATTTTAAATCGAACTAACACAATCGAATAAATTTATATTAATTGTTGATGAGATATTTACATAACCCATTACAAGTTTGAGGGCATAAAGCATAGACATCCCAGAACTTCCACTGAGCTACACATTGCTTCACAGCAAACATTTTCTAAGACCTAAGCAAACATCGAAAGTTTTCGCATCAGACAAAACGTAAACATAAGTTGAGCCCAGCCTAGATTCTCACTCCAATATTAAAATTAAACATGTGAATTTAAAATGTCAGTAAAGGTAAGACTTACACAAGAGAATCGGATTTTCCGGAAAAAAAGGGTTCGTGACTAGAAATAATTGTTGCTTCACTTCTCAGGCACCTATAAAAGGAAAAGAAATTAATAATAACAATTAATTTTTTTCTTGAAGTATTTCAATGGATTATCAACTATATGGTTGGAATATCACTAATTCTTGGTTATGCAAAAAATGTCGTTTTGTGTTCTTATATTCCGCAAAATTAGCTTAATAAATGTACCAGGGTTTTATTTAGTGATCGGACTAAATAAATCAAGAAATTGACATCAGCGCTAACTATTTATTCTCACATAATTATTGAATTTCAAATTCCCATTACGCTCCGAAAAATTTTATTTACCTGGAGCTGGTGCCTTTGAGCTGGTGAACACGAGCATCAATCTATACATTATATCGCATACAAAACGAACTGGCAAGCAGGGAAAACTGATATTCTCTAAAACCGACCCAATTGCTTTGGCCTAAATTTTATATCTGCAAACGATGTTAACAGGTATCGAATATTTTCACGAACATAAATTACCAATAGTCTTTACACGAACAAATGCCATTACGAAAGTGGTGGAAGCGGCTCGCATCACGAACTACAATCTCTTGATCCACAGTGCTCGACACACACTTGATAAATTCATGACAGTCTCCACATATGCGAAGGTTCTTGAAAATTCTAATTCTTCCACCGTTAACCTTACTTATCAGAGCAAAACCTAAAGCCAACCTCTCACTGTGGTTAAAAAGATTCTCTCGTTTTTCCTTCTCCGTCACATTATGCGGCACATACTTTGTGTTCGGTATGTACCCTACTTCACTAACTCTCTCCCTCAACTCCTCCATTTTCCTATGAATATCCAGCAGCCTTGGGTGCGACGAATCTTGAGACAAGAAAACGTGAATTTGAGCATCAATCTCAAGCCAACTGCACCCAGGTTCTTTTTTGATACCCTGACTCGACATCGATTTCCTAACCCTAGAAACATCATTCCACCTCCCTTTACTAGCATAGATATTAGATAATAAAATATAGTTCGAATCTGTTTCGGGGTCAATTTGGAAGAGTTTCTCGGCAGCTCTTTCACCCAATTCCACATTTCCATGGACTTTGCATGTGCCGAGTACATTCTCCCAAATCAAAGCATTTGGAGTTAGCTCCATATCCTCGATAAGTCTCTCAATCTCGTCGAATTTCCCTGCTCGACCAAGAACATCAACCAAACAAGCATAGTGCTCAATACTTGGCGTGATTCCATAAGATTCACTCATTGAGTAAAAATGCTTCTTTCCTTCTTCGACCAATCCCATGTGGCTGCACGCAGAAAGGATCCCTAGGAAAGTAACCCCATCAGGTAAGAACCCTTCGTTTATCATTTGCCTAAACGCTTTAAGAGCCTTATCACCCTCTCCATGTTGGGAATATCCGCATATGATTGTGTTCCACAGAACTGTATCGTTCGATTGCATGCCGTTAAACAGAGCTTCGGCATCGTCAATATGTCCACATTTTGCGTACATGTCAATCAGTGCACTTGATACAAACATGTCGGTAGATTGTCCAGCCTTAATTGCCAAGGAATGCAATTGTCGACCATTCTCAAGGCTTGCGATCGCAGAGCAACCCCTCAAACTACTAGCAAGAGTGAACTCGTTAGGGATAACACCTTCTCTTCGCATCTGGTTGAATAAACGAGCAGCCTTTTCGCCTTGATTAGTCTGTGAATAACCTGAAATGATAACTGTCCAAGCGAAGACATCTTTCTCATTTAATCTACTAAAAATAGCTTCCACATCCTCCATGCAACCGCACTTTGCATACATGTCAATCAGAGCAGTTCCAACATAACCATCACCTACGAATTTGTTTTTAATTACATGTGAATGTACCTGCTTCCCAAACTCAATATTCGAGAGGCTTGAACATGACCTAAGAATGCTAATAAATGTGTACATGTTGGGCGTAAAACCATCTGTAAGCATCTGCTTGAAAACCCTGGTTACTTGATCGGAAGTTTCATCATCGTGAAATCCGGATAAAAGGGCATTCCAAGAAATCACATCCCAATTGGCCATTTTGTTGAAGATACGATACCCGTCGTAAATTGATCCAAGCTTCATGTACATTGCAATTAATGCATTATTCACCAAATGATCAAACTCCAACCCAAATTTATGAGCGCATGCATGGACGCTTTGACCATAACGGAGGTCACCCAAATCAGTGGCAGCACTAACGAGAGTGGAAAGAGTAAACTCATTAGGCCTCATACCAGAACGCATCATTCGGTGGAACAATTTTGCTGCTTCTTCCTTTAGACCTTCTTGATCAAGTGCGCATATAATCGAACTCCATGTAACTATATCAGGATTCTCCATCGTCTCGAACACTTTAAGGGCATAATTGGCAACTCCACATTTTGAGTACATATTAACCAGGCTACACCTCACAAAATCATCAGTTTCACCCCCAACCTTGATTGCTATTGAATGGACTCCCTGACCAGCTATAAATGCACCAAAGCTGGCAATTCCCTTTAAAACAATCGACAATGTGTAATTACTAAACCTCATTTCCGGGTCTTCCATTTCGTTGAACAATCGTAACACTGCCTTCCCATTTCCCACCTGCGCATAGCCATTAAGCAAAGCATTCCACAAGACATTATTTTTCTCTGGCATCATACGAAAAACACCATCCGCGTACTCCATTTCCCCACTCTTGGAGTAAAGGTCAATCAAAGAGGAACCAATGTAAACATCGGAAAGAACGGCAATCTTAACAGCCTCTGCATGAATTTGTTTCCCAAAATTCAAGTCCAACGACACTGAACAACCCTTCAAAACAGTAGACAAGGTGAACTCGTTCGGCCTCACATCCTCCCTCCTCATCTGACAAAACAACTCAATGCTTTCCATTCCATGCCCTTGAGCTACAAAACCCGATATCAGAGCGGTCCACGAAACCACGTCTTTCATTGACATTAGCTCAAACACATTGCGCGAAAAATCTAAAGCCCCACATTTGGCATAGAAATTAATCAAAGAAACCCATAGATGCAAATCAGGCTCAGAACCACTTCGTATGATACATCCGTGAATCATTTTACCTTCGTTTAAACGCATTCCAGCCGCACAATCTCTTAGCATTTTGGAATACCATTTAAGCCTATTTTTTTCATTAACACTTTCCAAACCACTCCTTTCCGTTCCCCTATCGGCCGGAACCTGTAAATGACAACTTTGTGCTTCTTTTAATTCGTGCCAAGGTCGTACCTTTTCTGGGTTTCTTCTAGAATCAAAACCCCAATTGGGCTCTTTCGTAGTGATGAGAGCAGCAGTGGAAAACGAAGACCGGAAGCCAAGGGAATATAAGAGATGGTTCTTTGTGGGGTAAAACGTCGAACACCTTCTGTGCACTCCACAGAAAGTTGACAAAATGCCTTCGACGACGATTCGGGGTGGGCTCCGCATTTGCATAGTGACAAAGTCGCATCCCATTACGTCAGTAAAGAGAAAACGAGACGTCATGTTTCATACTAGCCGTCGAGTATTGAACTGAAAATACAGGCGCGGCCGCCGCCGCCGCCGCCGAAGATTGTGGAGGCGGC